TATATGAAATATGTGTATTTGTAAAACTTTGTGTTATATATATAGTTTTGCAATATTAGGCAAAAATAATATATATAGTGTGGATAAGGTTGTGTGGCAGCAGCATGTGGAGGACCTGGAGCACGGCACCCATGAGCCAATCGACCCTGGCCGGGGAGCTCAGCTCGCAGCTGCCTTGGGGCAGCCCCTTCTGGGCTGCTGCTGAACTGCCGCTCCTGCCTTTGGGGCTGTGGCTCAGGTGCAGAAGAGCAGCCGTGAGGCAGAGAGCGGCAGCCCAAAGAACTTTAAAAAGAGGTTTTGCAGTGCAGGATGGAAATCGAGCAGAGAAGGCTTCGCTTAAAAAAGGGTTTCAACTAGATGAAGGAAATGTGGAGGACAGTGAAAATAATGCAGAAGCAAATGGCCAGTTAAGTATAAGTCATCAAATATAACATTTCAGTTTCTGACACATGCCGAGCTCAGTGTGTCCTGAGACAACGCTGTGGCAGAGACTGAGTTCTTCGGGCACGTGGAAGGGCAGACTCAGCAGCAGAGCTGGCACTGCCAATGCAGGAGCTCCTTACCCACATCCTGGTGGGGGTAGGCTTTTCCACTTAAAGATAGTTATGATGCACCTCCTGAACACCCCTGCCACGGTGGCTCAGGAGAGATTTCCTGCTGGATATCTTGGAGCATCTGCAACGCTGCCTGGAGAAGACAGACCTTGACCACTTTGTTGTAGGCAACAAGAGGCTTCCTGTGGAGATGGGCTTGGGGCAGCCCCTTCTGGGCTGTTGCTGGACTGCTGCTCCTGCCTTTGGGGCTGTGGTTCAGGTCCAGAAGAGCAGCCATGAGGCAGACAGCAGCAGCCAGAAGAGCTCGAAAAGAGGCTTTGAGTTGCAGGTTGGAAATTGAGTACACAAGGCTTCTCTTAAAGAAGAGCTTCACGAATATGAAGGAAACATGGGGGACAGCAAAAGTAATGCAGAAGCAAACGTCCAGTGAATTTTAAATCATCAAATACACCATTTCAGTTTCTGACACATGCCGAGCACAGAGTGTCCTGAGACAATGCTGTGGCAGAGACTGAGTTCTTCGGACACGTGGCAGAAGACCCAGCAGATCCAGCAGCACAACTGACACTTCCAATGCAGGAGCTTCTTACCCACGTCCTGGTGGGGGTAGGCTTTTCCACTTACACCTTAAAGATGGTTGTGATGCACCTCCTGAACACCCCTGCCACAGTGGCTCAGGAGGGATTTCCCGCTGGATATCTTCAAGAGCCTGTGCCACTGCCTGGAGAAGACAGACCTTGACTACCTTGTTGTAGGCAACAAGAGGCTTCCTGTGGAGATTGGCTTGCAGCCAGACTTTGGAGTGGTTGAACCACCAAGGCTTTTGTAGCACCTGGTGCATGGTCCAGGTGCCCACACTGAGGCCATCTGTGATTACACTGGGCTGCGACATGGGTTCAGACAACTCCTGTTCTGCAGCCCTTGAGAGAGATGCTGAGGCACAGGGCTGTCTGATGGCAGCTGAGCTGCCTGACAATAGTGTACATATCAACTGTATATAAATTACCTGTATCTATACTTATCTTTAACCAGTTTCACTATACATGTAAAGTTTTTGTATATGAAATATGTATATATGTAAAACTTTGTGTTATGTATATAGTTTTGCAATATTAGGCAAAAATAATTTATATAGACTCAGCAGCACAGCTGGCACTGCCAATGCAGGAGCTCCTTACCCACATCCTGGTGGGGGTAGGCTTTTCCACTTAAAGATAGTTATGATGCACCTCCTGAACACCCCTGCCACGGTGGCTCAGGAGGGATCCTGAGGCACAGGGGTGTCTGATGACTATATATCAGTATGTATGAACTGTATATAAATTAACTGCATCTATGTTTAACTGTATATAGGTAGCTACATATATTAACACTGCATTTAGGGAATCTATACTTCAGTAACGCCCTACTGTTCCAAAATCTGTATCATGCCAGTCCTCTTGCGCCCAACTCTCTGCCGGCAGCAGTGGCCAGGAGGAGAGCTCCAGCTACAGCTTGGAGGAGGAGGAGGAAGAAATGAGACAAGGTTGTTACAAAGGGAGTGAAAGGTGGCGGTGCAAATGTGGGGGGAAACAACATTCATGGAAATGAAGAAGGCAGTAGCAATATTGATGCAAACAAAGAAGGCAGTGATTTTGGAAATGAAGGAAAAGAAGTCAATGAGAATGCAATTGAAGTAAAGTATGATGTGAATGGGCAGAAATACAACAGTGATGTTGGAAATGAAGAAAAAGTGGCAGAGTTTTTTCAAATGAAGGAGACGATTGGAAATTAAGGAAAGGAAGACACTGATTATGCAAATTAAGAAGATGAAGAACACACTGGTGTTGAAAGTAAGCTCAGAAGACTTTTAGAGAAGCACATACTTCTCTAAAAGAGTGGCCTATTCTGCACTTGGACGGAGGATGGGCCATGATAATTGACCTGATCGACAACTTGACACATGTATTTGGACTCCGCTTGTCAAACAGTTTCTGTCTTCTGCCCAACTAGCCGTTGGGGTGGGCAGTGCCTTCCAAGGTTGGAGTCCATGTGGGGAGGATGTTGTGTACTGCATGCTCCTCCCCCTGAATCATCTGCCAGGGCACACCTTCCTCCTGGAAGCTGGACACTGCTGGGCAAATGCCTGGGAGGAAGTTCTGCATCTGTGTGGAAAGGGCTCATGTGGAAGGAACAGCTCAGGGGAGAATGTGCTGTGCTCCCTCCACCACTCTAATCTCCACTAATCTTGCAGGCAAAGGGGTCAGGGTCTTGGGAAGGAGAACACGGACCGAATGGTTGAATGCCTGGCTACTCAGGGGTTACTCCATATCTGTGCATCTACCAAGGAGCAGCTGGATTGGGAGCATATGGCATCCACCTGATCTCAGACCACAGGCAAAAAGATGGGCAGATGTGGGACTTACCAGGGCAAGGGACATCCCTGCAGAGCAGCGCTCTGACAAGAGCAGCAGTGGCCTCCTCTCAGTGGCCTCCCCGGTGCAGCAGCCACTGAAGACCATGGCACCTACACAGATGCTTTTTGCTCTGCAATCCCATTGTTCTCAAAGGCCATGCTGGGCATTTCACCTGGGCTGGAAGGTCTGGCTGGGCAGGGAACAGGCAAAAGGCACTGCTGTTGTGACATCCATGTGTTCAGTGTGGACACAATGAAGAGTGTCTTCATACCAGACATTTCCCAGGGTCTTGGCTCTGTGAACCTGAACTTGTTGGACATGCAGGAGACTCTCTGTTGGCAGAGGGGGTTGCCCATAGGGAAATTGCCGCCTACAGGTGTCCGATAATGGGAAGATTTGCGAGAGGTCTTAGAGGGGCTGGATCTGGGAAGAGTTGAGCAGGAAAAACAGAGCCACCCTCACCCACTCCAGTTGTAGAAAAATTAGCACCATCCCAACAGAATCTCTGGTGCTTTAATAGATAATATTATTGATTATAATCAGCAGTATTGATGATGCTTGTATCTCCTTGACAAGAGCTTGGGGGGGTGAAACCCTTGTCTCTCTCCTCCTGCAGACCATGGCAGACAAATCAGTCCTTGCCCTGGTTGCGCTGCTCATCTTCCACTTTCTACGGCCCCTGGTGATCACTCCGCATGAAGATGCAGAGCTGAGCAAAGAGGACCTGGAGCAGGCTACCCCAGAGCCACCCGAGCCTGCCTGGGGACCCCTGCTCTCGGCAGCCGTGCAGCAGGGGCCCTACTGGGCTGCTGCTGAGCTGCTCTTCCTGCCTTTGTTCCTCTGGATCAGGCACAGAAGGGCGGCCATGAAGCAGAGAGCAGCGGCCCGGAGGGCTGAAGACGAGGCCAGAAGGCGCAGGATGGAAATCGAGCAGAGAAGGCTTCGGTTCAAGAGGAGATGCAAAGACTTGAAGGAAATGTGGAGGACCGTGAAAATGGTAAAGAAGAGAATGGCCAGGCTGTTTTGAATGAACAGGAAGGTGAGCGGGATGCTCTGTGGGCTGGCCAAGGCCAGCCGCATGTCTTTGTGAGCAGCCAGCGCACAGAGCTGCGCTTGCTGCCGAGCACAGCCCTGCAAAGCCGGGCCAGAGGCTCAGGGCTCCTGCCAGGCCCTGCACCTCTTCCCTCTCTCTGTCTTTATTGTATCTGTAGTAATTGCATCTGTTCATGCTTTTCCCTGCTGTAACATTGCACTTGCTCCTGGATGGAGGTGTTTGAAGGAGGATTGGGCCAGATTGATGTGCCTGGATTTCAATAGAGGAAAAGTTTAGAAATAATGATATATATTTATTATATCTAGATAACTGTTTTTGTTGAATAATACAGTTGTACAGTATATTAACTGGTATTATTTGTAACAATATTAAATTATTATATATAAAAGTTTGAAAAAAATGTAGTACTAGAGTTTTGCTGGAGGAGAATATAAATTTATTAGTCAGGAATTACACATTTTTAAAAATTTTTTATTGCAAAAACGTATTACGTAGCAGTGTATTATATGAAATATATTGTATGTATTTTATATGTACATTATATAAAATACGTATATGAATATGATATAAATATATGGTAGAATTTAACAATACATAAGAGTATATTTTAACCTGTATTTTATAAATTGTATATGGCATATTTCATGTAATAGATGTCACAGAATATATAATGTCTGTAAATATAGGAATTGATAGTAACAATCGATATTCTTATAACTCTATGGATACAAATGATACTTTGGTTTTTGTCATGAATTTCAATAAAGTTGTCATCGGCATATTATTTAATTTGTGACGTTTCATGTGTCTGTGCCGACCCTGGAACGCTGTGGCCACCATGGCTCCCCCCCCGCCCCGGTCCATGGCGCGCTGAGGGCAGCGCCTTCACTCCGTGCCGCCATGGCTCCACCCCGTCCCTGGCACGCTGAGGGCAGCGCCTTCACTCGGTGCCGCCATGGCTCCACCCCGTCCCTGGCACGCTGAGGGCAGCGCCTTCACTCCGAGCCGCCATGGCTCCACCCCGTCCCTGGCGCGCTGAGGGCAGCGCCTTCACTCGGTGCCGCCATGGCTCCACCCCGTCCCTGGCACGCTGAGGGCAGCGCCTTCACTCGGTGCCGCCATGGCTCCACCCCGTCCCTGGCACGCTGAGGGCAGCGCCTTCACTCCGTGCCGCCATGGCTCCACCCCGTCCCTGGCACGCTGAGGGCAGCGCCTTCACTCCGAGCCGCCATGGCTCCACCCCGTCCCTGGCACGCTGGGGGCAGCGGCTTCAGTCGCAGGCTGAGGGCGGCGCGGCCAGCTCGATGGCCGCCGTGTTCCTGGTTACGCTGTACGAGTATTCGCCGCTGTTTTACATCGCCCTGGTGTCCGTCTGCTTCCTCGTCACCAGCGCGCTCGTCCTCGGCTGGTCAGTGCTCGGGGGCCGGTGGGGCTCGGCCGAGGGTGCCTGGGCAGTGCTGAGGGGGAGCAAGGCCAGGCCCACGGTAGGGGCTTGGAACGGTCCCTTCCAACCCAAACACTCCTAGGCTTCTAAACGAGCAATAAAAATAATTTTAAAAAGAAATACGTATTTCTGTTAAGCTCGTTTCTCTTTTAGTAACACCGAAGTGTTTTCTTAATGGTTTTTGTAATATCATTCATAATATTGGCAAACAATGCGTTTGTATGTTCTGAGCTATGTGTGTGTGTCGAGGCAAGGGAGCAGAGCTGGGGAAGGGTCTGGAGCCCCTGGAGAGGCTGAGGGAGCTGGGAAGGGGCTCAGCCTGGAGAAAAGGAGGCTCGGGGGGACCTTGTGGCTCTGCACAGCTCCCTGCGTGCAGCCTGGGTCTTTTCCAACCTACATGATTCTGTGAATCTGTGAACTGATCTCCTGAAGTGTCGAGGGGTGGTGAGTGAAAGGGTTTCTGCTTGTGTTTGAGAGGATGACGCCAAAACTCCGCTCTTGCCTTTTTCAGAAGCAGCTCCTTGAATGTCCCTAACCCTCAGGAGTGGCTGTAAATGTAAATACTGGTACTTGCCAAGAGCAGAGAATTGATTGGCAATCAAAATCTTTCATGTAAAAATTGTGGCTACACCAAACTCATGTGGCTTGTGATGAAAATAAAACTAGAGTTGTTGAACTTCCTCTCATTGGTTCCACATTAATATCTGCAAAGTGCTGGTGATAAAGGTATTTTTAAAAAAATTATTATACTGAACCAATATTTAGATAAATGTTCATTATGTCTATCCCTATCCACTGATGCTTTTGCCAATTTAATCATTATTTATCTACTTGGAGTAAATTCTGGCAATCCCCCCCTGCTCAAAATGGTCAGAAATAGATGAGTGCTACAAGATCCTAACATAAAAATTATTATACTGAACCAATATTTAGATAAATGTTCATTATGTCTATCCCTATCCACTGATGCTTTTGCCAATTTAATCATTATTTATCTACTTGTAGTAAATTCTGGCAATCCCCTGCTCAAAATGGTCTGAAGTAGATGAGTGCTACAAGATCCTAACACGTATGCACTGGTGTCTTTTGGGTACAGGCTGTACAGAGGACTGTCCAGAGGCTTTTTTTTTTCAGGATCAGAGATTCCAGTTGCACCTGCACTAGGTGTTATTGCAGTTTATGGAAATACATGCATTTTTTTCTTCAAACTGGAGTATTAAGGGCCTGTTAATCAAGGAGGAGCTGTAGCCAGGAGCTCAGCACATACAAGCAGGTGAATGTGTAGGCAGCTGCTCAGGGGTATTTGCTGCTTCCTTGGAATTCTCCTGTGCCATGGCAGTGTCCAGGAGCCTCCAAGGGATTTTCCTGTGCCTGCAGCTGCAGTTACAGCTCAAGTGCTCCTGAACTTGCTCAGGAAAACAACTCAAATCCTTCATTTGCCACACAGAGCACTGTAAATGCAAATGTCACTGGAGCACAGCATACCTGATCTATTGCTGCAGTGGCATTTGGGCTCCCCCATAATTTTCAGCATTAATTTCTTTAATGGTGTGTTTGTGTTGGTGTCAGTCAGCCTGAAAAACACCAACTGTTGAGGAACGTTCGTGTTCTGATTTGTCAAGCCTTGCAGTGATGGGAGGAGCGTCTGTTCCTGTGGGCAGCTCTGCATACCTGTGGCTCTGCTCACAGTCCAAGTAGGTTAATGCACAGGCAGCTTCCAGAGCCAGTCCCACAGGTGCCCTGGGCACAGGGGTGAAGTGGAATTTAGATCACCTGATTTCCTGGGCAATGTATTTTTAGCTGGAGGGGAATACTCCTGTTAGGTGGAGCTGAAGGCTCAGCACCTGTTGGAAGTCTGGCTCTGCAGAAACATTCATTCATTAACTAAACCCTTGGAAATTCCTGCTTTTTCTAAGCTAGCACTGCTCTGAAGAAATTTATGTTCTCCTCTACCAGCTAATGATCTGGACTGTTAGATCATAAAATAAAAACTGTATCTTTACTCATCCTTCCTACGTTTCCTACATTTAAAATTTACGGAAAACCATGACTTAATGTGGAACAGAAAGGCCTCTGTGCCTTCAGCTGCTGCTAAAACTGTATCAGAGGCTCTTTTATCTTGCCACTTTTCATGAGGATAATCCTGTTGCTTTCATCCAGTGAAGAAAATTTCCAAGGAACAGGGATTTTCCACCACAATCAGGCAGATTCTGATATAAAACAGGGCTGCAGAGATCGCTTCTATTAGAGTTTGGGAATTGAAGAAGGGAAACAGCTACTGCCTCTGGTTTCTTTGTGAGATGTTTAACTGGGATATTCCCCTGCAGCCCCTGGGATGTCACTGTGGGTGTTTTCCCTTGTGGCAGAGAGAACTGACCCTCTGTGTGCCCAAACCAAGCATGGCCACGAGCCTTCCATGATGCCACTGAACAAATACAAATGTTTCCATGAGAGGAATGGCTTTAAACGGACAGAGAGCAGCTTGAGGTTGGATATTGGGAAGGAATTCTTGTCTGTGATGGAGATGAGGCCATGGCACAGATTGCCCAGAGAAGCTGTGGCTGCCTCATCCCTGGAATTGTTCAAGGCCACGTTGGGTGGGGCTGGAAGCAACCTGGGCTAGTGCAAAGTGTCCCTGCTCACGGGAGGAGGCTGGAATGGTGCTCAGTTCTGCAGGACTCAGATGGGAGGAAATTCTGGCCTAACCCTTTACCACTAGAGGGCACTGACAACTCTCATTAATTTTATTTCCTTTGTGGAAACCCAGAGCAAAATATTTCCCCTTTAAAGATTCCCTGCATCAGTGTGCAGACTCCTGCCTTCTGACAAAAAGCTGAAGTCGAAATTGCAGGATACATTATCCATGCATCCTGGCAGATATTCTGGAAAGCCAAGCTAGCTCTATTTGTTCTGCTGCTTGCTATTTAGAGCTGACAAAAAAAAAAATCAAATGTTTCAACACTAACACTGAACCCACTCGTTCTTCTTGTTTTGTGTCTCCTAGGTTTGGTTTGGGTGTTCCTGTTATTCTGAGGAACTCAGAAGAGAGAGAATCCAGCACAAGGGTATTGAAAAAGCAGATGAGACAAGTGAAGAATCCTTTTGGGTTGGAGATCTCTAATCCTGCTGCAGCTTCAGTAACAAGTCAGTGAATTTCTTATGTGGGTTTTGTCAATTTGCATTCCTGAACTTGGTACTTTCCATTTTCTGCCTAGAATCATAGAATGGTTTGGGTTGGAGGGGACCTTAAAGATCATTGTTTTTGCTCTCATCCTTTTTCTCTGTCATAATTCCTCAGAAATACACTTCCATTCCAACAGAAATAAGCTTTTACACAGTTTATAAACATGGTGTTTTTAAAAGTGAAATGTGTGGATATGGAGGTACAGTTTAATTCTCATTAATGGAACACTTCCTGCTATTACAGATCTTTAAGTAACTAAAACATTTGCAAATTACCAACCACTGTGGGCGTTTCTATAAATTTCATGGAATTGTAGAATTGTACAGAATTCATTATGGAACATGTGCCACCCACTTAAATCTAAGCCCAGATCTTCAGCAGTATTTGGAAGTGCACTATTTTTAATAAATAGATAAATAAATAAATCATCACTCTCTTTTTCTATCTGTTCTCCAATTGAAGCTGAATGTAAGTATCTGTTTGGATCAGAGTTGAAGCCACCCCTATCATTCCTGAAATCACCCACAGAGGAAGTGGAATTCATGGCCTTCTGCATCACTGGGGAGCAGTGAGCAAGGCTGAGCATCTTCCACCCACACGGAGGTGGGGCCTTCCAATGCATGAGGAGGGGCTGCAGCAGATTTCCCTCCTACCTCAACATAACCCCCCCAAAACAACAAATCCCACAATTCAGGTAACTGGGATTTTTTCAGGAGCTTTGAGCACTCCTGCTCCTGTTTGTGCAGGAAGTGTTTAGAGGTTAACTGGTTTTTGAAAAAAGAATGGAGAGCATAGATACCCTTTTTCACCTCCCTCTGCATGATCAAGAGCCTTATTCTTTGAGACCACAGAGAGTTTTGTAGGTGAGTGATCTAATTACTGCCATTATCTCAGGAGGGAATGGACTTTGGGCAAAGGTTGTGCTCTTGGATCTGCCAGTGAGTGTGTAAAGTGTTACCAGAAGTTAAAATTTACCGTTCATAAAATACATGTGGTATTTTTGTGAGCTTAATCAGCCATTTTATCTCCTCACACCCACCTCCTCATCCCCACTGATTTACATAAACACTAAGCTGAATCTAGATAGTCAGAAGATTTGTTTATAATGATAACTAATTTTTGTTATTTTATAATGTTTAGCATTTTAGGGGTGGCCTAATTGCAGCCTTTCAGTACCTGAAGGGAGCCTAGAAGAAGAGACTTTTAAAAGGGCCTGGAGGGACAGGACAAGGAGGACTGGCTTCCCACTTCCTGCCAGAGGGCAGGGATAGATGGGATAGTGGGAAGAAATCCTTCCCTGTGAGAGTGGTGTAACCCAGGCACAGATTGCACAGAGAGGGACTTGGGACAAGGGATGGAGGGACAGGACACAGGGAATGGCTTCTCACTGACAGACGGCAGGGATGGATGGGACATTGGGAAGGAATTCCCAGCTGTGAGGGTGGGGAGGCCCTGGCACAGGGTGCCCAGAGAAGCTGTGGCTGTCCCTGGATCCCTGGAAATGTTCAAGGTCAGGTTGGACATTGGAGCTTGGAGCAGCCTGGGACAGTGGAATGGCAGGGGGTAGAACAAGGTGACCTTTAAGGTCCCTTCCAACCCAAACCATGCTATGATTTTATGGTTCTGTGATAAAAATCAGTGACACTGAAGTTGTTTTCTGCTTGTAGCTCTTCAAGCATCTAGACTTGGCGATTCCAGGATTCCTGCACGTGGTGGGTTAATGAAATCCCTCTCCTCTTTCTCCAAGGGGGTGTAGTGCTGACACCTGACTGCCTGGAGGACTGTGTCCTTACCTGCTACTGGGGCTGCAACGTCCAGAAGCTCCACGAAGCGCTGCAGAAACACGTCTACTGCTTCAGAATAAAGACTCCTCAGGCATTAGAGGATGCTCTCTACAACGAATACCTCTACAAACAGCAGTACTTGTATCCTTTTTTTGAATTGTTTTGACAAAATATGTTGATTTTTTTGGCACGGGGAGCATTGAGGATGGTAAACGCGCTGCAGATTTTGGCACAACTCATTTATGAACAAACACCATGAGAAACATTCTTCATGCAAACGTCATGTTTGTCTGCAATTGCAGCCACTGATTGTTTTCCTTGACACAGGCAAAGCATTAAGAAAAATGACAAGGCAGAGAAATATTGTCAGTTACCAGAAGATGCTCAAGTTGTGGATTTTGGCCCCGTGCCTAGAGCTCGCTATCCCTTGGTAGCACTGCTGACGTTAGCAGATGAAGAAGACAGAGAAATACATGATATTGTAAGTAATATCAGAGTATACTTCAGGGTCACTGTGTTTAAGGTCTGAATGTTTCAGGAGAAAGGCTTGAATAAAGCAGCTTCACCTTCCTGTTCCCTAGAATTTGGTCCCTCACTTTTCTTATTTGATAAAATAAAGCAGTTCAAAGCTTTAACTTCCAAACCTCAGTCTTTGAAGAGGCAATGGAAAAAGATTGCTTACTCTTTACTTATTCACTACAGCATTTAAAAGATGGTTGTGATTTCCCCAAAGCTTCTGCCTGCCAGTGTCCCTGTGGTCAGAGGAATGAGGGTTGGGGCAGTTTAACAACCTGATTTCTGGGATCACACAGGCATGTGGTGGAGCTCTTGCACTTACACAGATTCATAGATTCTGTTGGCAAGGTAGAGGGATTTTTTTAATAAGTGTCTGGCACAGATATGGAGCTCATTGCTGACTTGGCTATTAGAAACCTAGAAATTACCTTTCTGCCCCAGATCTGTGTCATGGTTGTGTCTCACAGGAGCCAACTCCAGGGCACTTACAGGAAGGGGTGAAAGTCTGGCTTGAGGCTGATAGGAGATACTCAGCTCCTCAAAAAGGGTCTCCTCCTAATCTCTTGCTATTAAAGCAGCTTCAGCCTTGCCACATGCTGTTCAATACCCTTTATAAACTCTAAATTGGTGAACTCTGAATGATTTGAGACACACTTTTATCTCCCATCTTTTCATTGGATTGATAATCTGCTTGCAGCAGCTCCTTGAACAGTAGCACAGCTGAACTTGGAAGCAAATTCCAAGCCAAAATCCACTGAACACTTTTCCATCCATTCACCTGCAAGCTGCAATCACACCAGTGCCTAAGAAATGGGTCCTCTGTCCCCTTTCCAGGTGATGGCTGTCCTTGGCTTCTTGTCACCTGACTTTAGGACTCCCTCCTCCCTCCTGTCCCCACTTGAGATGTTTGAATGTTTTAATACATTTTCATAGAGACTCTAAATGTAGTATTTGAATTTATTTGGCATTAGCATGGGCGTGAATTTGTAACACCTCTCTTTTGAGCCTTGACATAAAAGAAAGGGGTGGAAGGAGAGTGATGGAGGTATTTTTCCCCTGGTTTTGGAGGAAAGGAACACATCTGTAAATCCAGTCGGGAGTAGCTCCACCTGAACTCCTTGCCAGACAAATGTCAGAATTGCGTCTGGTTTGTTGAAACAAACTTGTAAAATAGAAATGGAATGTGGAGATGGATCTTTGCCAGTGTGATATTACCATTTTTAATTATACTTGGGGGGTCTGTGTGGGTGTCCATCACTGTGGATGTGTTTCAGTGATTCTTTCCTGGGGGAGGTCGTCTGATTTTTGTCCTAACTGGTTTTGTGGCAAGATGATCCCTACTTGGTTTTGTGCCATCACTTTCCTCTAGATCCAGAAAATTAGCATGACCATATATAAAACATACAGAAATTACTGGAAGACTGTCACGGCTAAGGTGGAAGCTTAGATCTCAGGCACTGTGATTTAGAAAAAAAAGACCCTTTTGCCAAGGAATAGTGAAATCAGTTCTTAAAAATCCATATGTGTAGGTACGTACACATTTGAACTCTGTATTTAATTAGCCATGTGTGGATTTTGAAGTGCAAGTCTAATTTGCCTTTAAATTTCTTTTTAAAGCAAAACAGCTTCTATATTTCATTTCTCTTTTGACAGCTTCTGGGAACTACAATAATATTGAATTTCACTTTCTTTTTTTCCCAGCTTTTTAGAGGCTATTACGTAATTTGGGCAGGGTGGGGGTTATTAGGCACAGCATGCAAGCTTGGAGTGCTTGTATTTCCAGAGGAATTATCTGAAGTCAGCCCGTGGGGGTTCAGAATCCTTTCCAGTGAAATCTGTCTTTTGCCTGCTCGGATTACAAGCCAATCACTTCTTACTGATTTTTGGAGTCTAAAAACTGCAGTCTGTGTGTTTCTGAGGGAAGGGGAAGAAAGTGGAGAAGAATGCTCAGGTGCCTTTGCAGTTTGGGGTGTAATTCCATGAGGAGGGAGCAGCCAGAGCAGGTCTCTGCTATAAACTGGCTACAGAAGAGCTCCATGGGGAAGCAGGGTGAAAAGCTGAAGGAGCACCAAGGGCTCTCTTGTGTCACATCCTGTTTCTATCTTATCCACTGTATTTTTTTATTTATTTGATCAGTGCTTGAAGTCAACATCGTTGAATTCCTGATTGTCTGAGGAATTAAGCAGGTCAGGAGCCATACCAAAGCAAATCAGAGAATCAGGGAATAATACGGGTTGGAAGGGACCTTGAAGATAATATTTCACCCCCTGCCTTGGGCAGGGACACATTCCACTATCCCAGGTGGCTCCAAGCTCTGTCCAACCTGACCTTGAACACTTCCAGGGATCCAGGGACAGCCACAGCTTCTCTGGGCACCCTGTGCCAGGGCCTCCCCACCCTCATAGCTAGAAATTCCTTCCCAATGTCCCATCCATCCCTGCCCTGTGTCAGTGGGAAGCCATTCCCTGTGTCTTGTCCCTCCATCCCTTGTCCCAAGTCCCTCTCCCGCTCTTCTGGAGCCCCTTTAGGCACTGGAGGGGGCTCTGAGGTTTCCCTGGAACCTTCTCCGGGGTGAACGCCCCCAGTTCTCTCAGCCTGAGTGATAAGGTTATTAAACATAGAATTTTTTTCTGTTTGTAGATTGCAATGGTAGCTGTAATTCACGTTCCTGATGAAAGCTACAGACTTTCCTGCCGAATTTTGTATCAGTATCTCCTCCTGGCTCAAGGTCAATACCATGACCTGAAGGTAAGCCACGCACGGAGTCTGGTTTCATGTGTATGATAGTGTTAACTTTAGCTTGTGTAGGCTTTCAGGAGCCTAAATTAGTACAAGACTTCTATTGTCATGCAAAGAACTGGATGGTAGTTTAAATTATTTTATCAGTTAAGTAGTGTCACAGGAACTTACTGTACAGAAATATTTTCCATTAAAATAGTCAAGGTTTCCCAGAGAATTAAGTGCTTCTAATCTAGGTGTCCTAGTGTCCACTTAGTAAAGCAGTAGGAAGAAATTCACTGTTGAATGCTTCTTCTTTCCAGAATTGTTATTTCCTTTCTTCAAAATTCCCTTTTAATCAGGAAAGCCTCAGAAGAAACTTACTTTTTTAAAATGCCTTCTTCTTACTCTATGCTTAGGAATCATGCCCAGAAGAATTTGCGCTTCACATAAAATAAGACTAAAAAAGGAGTAGGGGGTTGGAATATGAGCAAGAGCAGAATGTGTTGAGTGAAGCAGATTTGACAGCATGGTGGATATGATTTTGGTAGGAACAGATAGAGGATCCCTCTAGGCACAGAGACTGATGGACCAGAAACAAACCCGAGCTGCTCAAAACCTGAGCACTTCTGTTAAATTTCATGCATGACATTGACTTGATGCAACCAAGGTCTGAGGACTTATCTTTAATATTTTCCCCCTGTTTTATGTAATTTCATGTTTCTGAAATGCCTTTAACTGGAGGCCAGGCAGCTGCCAGGAGCCACACAGTCTGGCACTGTTTGACCCAGTGAATGGATCCAGTGGAACTTCCGTTGCACCTGTGCGTGTGCAGAGACTAAGGAAGAGTTTGTTCACTCCTAAATATTTGTGTTTATGTGTATTTTAGCAACTCTTCATGTCTGCAAACAGTCCTGCACTCTCCCCCAGTGATACCTTCCCTGGTGAGAGCAGCACTGACAGAGGGCTGGCTGGAGGTGAACCAGAATTGCAGGAAGAAAACAGCAAAGACTGTGTGGTGTGCCAGAATGGCCCCGTGAACTGGGTCCTCCTGCCCTGCAGACACACGTGCCTGTGTGATGGCTGCATCAGGTATTTCCAGCAGTGCCCCATGTGCAGGCAGTTCGTGCAGGAGTCTTTTCCACTTTGCAGCAAAAAGGAGCAAGATGAGGATGAATCGACCCGTGTCTTGCAAGATGTTCTTCCTGGAAGAGTTTTTTAACGGGAGTTAAAAATAAAAGACCTGGGTTATGTGCACTAAGATTAAATGTGGAAGCCAGACTATTTATGGGAGGATATGTAGCGTTAACTTGTAGGATTTTGCAATTTTTTTGTTGGGTAATTTTCAGCTTCCTTATTTTTCCTCGCTCCATATGCTCACAGGAGTGCTGCTTATCCGTGCAATGTGGACAGGAGAAGTGCGTAGGATAGCTCTGAAGGATGTGATTTTATTTATAACCGCTTCCTAGATTTTCTTGGAGCACTGTTGGAGCTATTTTGACTACTAAATTTAGGCTGTCTACTAAAAAAAGAATAAAACTTGCAATGCAGTTGCCCAAGGCTCATTCTATATTTATTGTGTTTAAAATACTAGAGCCGTATATCATTTTAACTCGGTATAATTTAGGAACTTAGCACTTTACAGAATGTACCATATGAAGGAAAGTAAATATTCTTCAATGTTAACCCCGTGTGTGTTTATTTTGTAGCTGGAGGTTGGGCTGTGGCAGGAGCTGGGGGTTGAAGGTGGGGCTCAGGACACTGATTCTGGCTGGTTTGAAGGATTTGTGTGTGAGGGACTTCAGCCAAAGCCCTTTGGAAAGGTTTTTGTTGATTATTCTTGAACTGCATGTTGCTGACGCTTTCAAGCCTGAGCCCCCGTGATGACATCTTGAGACACAGACTTTCAGTCTTGTTGGCAGTGCCTGTAAGAACTTGTTCTCCATGCAAATGTTGGTTAATCACTCTCCAGAGTGGCGGCAGCTTTGTGGTGCTTTGAGGGATTTCCAACTCTTTTCACTTACATGGTCAGCTTGGATGACCAGTAACCAGTTAACCACTTTCCCTTATCAATAGTCCCAGGAAATGTACCTGCTCTAACAAAGGAAGAAGCTAAAGAATAGCAGAAAATTATTTCCTTTCACTCCAGTGGTGTGTTGTCAAAAGCAATAAAAATGGCTGTTGAGAAAAGAAAGTGGTTTGTTTCTTTCAAGAGAGACAAATTCTCCTAAAGGCAAACAAGCTGAGTCTCACTTCTGCTCCTATAAGGGAAAATGCTCCTTAGACCCTGTAGAAATGGGGAGTGGCTGCTTTCTCTCCTCCCTTTTGTTCCCTTGCAGCTTTTCTCCACATCCAGTTCCAAGACAGCTGCTCAGGCTCAGGCAGGGAAAGCTGTGCTCCACAATCCTCAGCTCTGCTCTCCTGCAGCTCCAGCGTACACACAAGGTGCTGCACATCTCCAAACCAGTGAATGAATCTTCCCCCACTCAAAGGTATTCCAAGTTCACCTTTCCATCCTTCTCTTTTCTTATTGTTTGCTGTGACCCTGCTTCTGAACTCCTGGCAATTACCTCTGAGTAAAAGATTTAGGTGGTGCTGTTGTGAAGAGTAATGGTTAGTTGTAAGGACAGATAGAAGTGGGGAATTGATGCCTGTAGCCACAGATTTCCAGCCAGTGATCAGCAGGCTGGTTGTAAGAGAATTTATCTGCTCTGCCTAAACTGACCATCCTGGCCAGGGACAACTTGGGAATAAACTTCTGGACAAACCATGCTGTTGTTTGCACTGTGTACCAACCAGGAATGACCCCCTGAGGTGTCTGTGGGGATGGAGCTGTGCCTGATCCACGGCAGCAGCTGCTTCCACACCAACAGCTCACACAGCGTGTGGGACAGTGGCTGGGCAGCTTGTTATTCCAGAGGAGCAGGTTAATGCTGTGCTGGTTCCAGCCTGGAGCTGGGCACTGATAATTAGCAGGTACTTGTTTGCCCACGGAGGTGATGAAGGAGGTGTTGTTTACTGCTCGACCGCAGTAGTCGCCGATATTTAATCAATTAATTAAAATCTCCCATCAAACAGCATGATCCAAACCTGTGGGCCTATTTAATCTCACATGAAATGGTATTCAAGTAACCCCACAGAGAATTGCCTGGTCTGCCTCATCTTTCAATCGATGCCAGTATTAAATAATAATGGCAAGCAGGATGTAGCTGTGCTGAACTGCCAGGCCATGGATTTACCATTAAGTCTGTCCCAGCTTTTCATTTGTTACTTGCTCTTTTAATAGCATTTTCTAGAGATGCTTAGTTGCTCTCTCTGCTCTAACAAGCTTCCTTGCTGGCCCAAATGAAAGACCTGATGAGAGTTATAAAAAGTACAGTAGCTGCCTCATTACATTTGCCTTTCTTCTGAGAAGCCATGCCAAAATACAGATCAGGTGAGAAGGAAAAGGAGCAGCTCTAAAGCTGCCCAACGTGTCTCTTGATTGTCTTAATGCAGGGATTCAAGGCTCTAAGAGAGAAATAAAACCTTCCTGTGACCCAAAAAAACACAATGTATTGACAGAGGCTGTTTTGCTGTCACCCTGTTGTAATAGAGGTGATATAACATTCCTTTTCTGCTCATTATAGATGATGTTTACAGATTTGGTGACATCAAAGAACACTGGAAGACTTCTGGCAACGGGGCTTGGTTCTTTTAAGCAGCACTGGGATGTTTCAGATTCATAATGTTTTTTGCTGCAGGAGAAGTTGGTTTGCTTTGATTCATCAACCCTAATCAGAGCTGAGACTTCCAAATGGTTTGATCAGACAAAGTGGTGCTATTTAGGCATGTCCCAAGGTGTCTTTCCAAATGCCAATGGACTGTGACATGGGCATCTTCCTTCTGCAGGGAAAGTTGCTGTGTTAGGATCTTCCTTCCTCCTTATCTGCCTCCTAAGTAGAGGGGGAAATGGTTGTAGGGAAAATCCACGTCAGCTCAGGTGGCTGCTGTACAACTTCCTGACAGGAGGGTGCAGCCAGGTGAGGTTTGGTTCTTCTCCCAAGAAACAAGGAAAAGGACAAGAGGAAACAGCTTCAAGTTGCAGCAGGAGAGGTTTAGATTGGATATCAGGGAAACTTTCTTCACTGCAAGGGTGGTGAGACTGTCCACAGGCTGCCCAGGTACATGTTTTGTTCAGCTTTAAGATGAGCTTCTGTGTGAATCTGATTTAAACGCCTCATTTACATGCTAACATCAAACTTCAAGTGTGGTAGAAGCAGACAGGAATTGGGTGAGTTTCTCCTGCTGATTTGCACGTTGCTGGGGCTCTCTGTGCCCTGAGGAAACTCTGCCAGGTCTGCAGGTGACATCTGCCAGGTGAGGGAGGTCTGGGGCTGACGTCTGTCACTGGAGGTCTCTGCAGGCTCCAGTCACCACTTGCTCAGCTTTCCTCACATCCAGAGTAAACAAGGACTGGCCTCTGTCACTGCAGTGGACGTGCAGCCCCTGCAGAGGCTGTCCCTGGTGTCCTGTGTGAGTGTAGCTGATGTAATTAATACCAGGGATAGCTGAATTCCATCTGCTACAGCAGAAGTCCTCTGAACTGAGCTGTTAGAAAGGCTTGGTGTTGCCTTGCTGGAATACGCTGGGCAGGAAAAAAAGACAAAATCTGGATTAGGGGTTGATTTCTGGATAACTTTGGTATTACTGCCATTTCTGATGGCACACAAGGATGCAGGTGCAAACCTGAGCACAGCTATGAGGCCACAGCTGAGCACTAGAGAGTCCCAGGTGGGATCTGCCACAACAGCCCCCAAAACCACAGGAGCAGCCACAAAGTGTCTGCTGAACACTTCACAGTCATTTGGGGCAGCTCTGCAAATTGTTTCTGTGTTGCTTTTACTCACTCTGTGTGAGCAATGTGTGTAGAGAGACAAGAGCTTGTAGTGCAGTGTGGATATAGCTGTAAAAAGGGCCTGACACTGGTTGGGTTCCATAAATTCCTGGGAATGTGCAACACCAACATAAAGGCACCTTTGTGTGGATGCTGCTGCAGCTGAGCTGGAGAGGTCCTGCCTTAATTACCCCATCTCATAATGGGAATGATTTAAAAGAGTAAAAATACTATATGTAGACAAAATTTTAAGACTAAATGAATCCATCAGCAGAGTCTGATGTCCAAAGTGAGGAGTCTTTGTGTTTCTCCCACAGAATTTTGGAAATCAATGATATTATAAATTTATGCTGAATTTACTGAGCCTTCATCAGGCTTGGGAAACTCAAAAAACTCCTTTTGTTCCTTTTCCCTGCACATGCAGTCCTCAGGCATGGAAAGGGCAACACTGGGATGTTTGTGACAGTTGTGACATGAGGATTTGCATTTCTGTCACACCTCTGGAAGTGTTCAAGGCCAGACGGGATGGAACTTGGAGCAACGTGCTCACGTGGAAGGTGTCCCTGCCCATGCAGGGAGTTGGAATGAGTTGATTTTTAAGGTCTCTTCCAACCCAAACCATTCTGGGATTCTCTGATTTCCACTCTTTAGAAAACACCTGCACTACCTGGATCCTCCTGAGATCTGAGTGAATCCCAGAACTGCTTCTGTGGGACCAGCAATAATTATCAGGACAATTAGTTGCTACCTGTGTTTTCTATCCTCAGTCTGCAGCAACCTTTTATCAGCAGAAGATTTGTACTTAAAAAGCTTTTCTAGGTTTTAAATGTCTCCTCCAGCTTTTTGTCTTCATCAGCTGAGGGGTTTTGGCAGTTCCTAATAATTTTTCCTCTCCCATTGCATAGCCATTTCACATCTAATATTTCCTGGCAGATTTCTCAGTAGTAGCTGCAGTCAGGGGACTGGTGAGAGGTCCAATGCATCACTTCTCTCTCTCCACATGCTGTTTATTCCAGTGTCTATCAGCTCCTCGTGAACAATACTTTGACAAGCAGCCTGGAAAGGAGGATTGCTAACTTGTGAATTATTTTGATAGTTACCATCTTCTTTTTTCCCTGTAACTCTGCAGATGCTGTTGAGTTTGGAGGCAGAACAGAGTTCTACCAGGGGTTATCAGGCATCAGTCTCCTGCCAGCAGAACTGTGAGATACAGATGTTGTGTCTTCCCTGCTCACGTGCAGCACAGACACCTCATTTGGTTTGTTCACGCCAGTTCCTGAGGGTCCTCAATTTCCAGGATTTTCCCTCTAGGAAAAGACTGCCAGCTCAAAAAGCACCAGCTTGGAGGGAGCCTGAGGTGGGATCTTGCTGGCAGCGAGGCTGGGGATGATTATGGCAAGTGAGGAGCTCTGAGGGAGTCGGACATGGCATTGTCTCTGCTTGCCAGGGTGAGCAGAGCCCTGTGGGGCAGCACATTCCATTGATCCAAGTAAGAGCAGGGCAGTGATTTATGGCACAGCACAGCTTGAAAAGCAGTGATTTTCATTCACCAGATGCTGCCATACATGAGACAAGGTTGGTGACCCAGCTGCTGCCTTTCTCCTCCCAGGTGCTCAGCACCAAACCCTGGCTGGAGTGGCTGCAATATCATCCAAACCCTCCTCTACTGAGACAGCTTGAATGACACTTGTAAGAACTTACCTTTACATTTTGCTATAGGACCAAAAAGGACTATTTGCCAAGAGCTGGTGAATTCCCATTAAAGAATGACTACAACTTTCCCAGTCTTTCAATCTCTAAGTGTCTTCCC